CCATAGAATTTAATACGAAATCGCCAGAGTGGAAGCTGATCGGAGCCGATAATAAAGCTGATCAATGCGAGAATATCAGTTGTTAAGTATTTTTCAACTCTGACTCGCTCTGAAACGCCGCTTTTCACAAGAGGTGGTTATTAGTTATTTTGAACAAAATTATGGTTGTTGATGTTTCGATTAGTGAGGTTTTTTCTTTTCCTGCTTCTTGGGGTAAAATGTGTGGGTGATGAATTACAAGCTCTTTCTTCTTCAAAACATATTCATATAGAGAACTTGATGCAAAATATTCTTCATTTGACGAATCCATTTCTTTAAATTACATGTGCATAAGCACAAATAATATTACCAAATCTTGATCAGCGCCAATCAGAATCAGCTTTACGACCGGCTCGTCCTTCAGCGTCCACTCTGCGGGTGACCTAGGACTGTTAATTCGAATTGGTGAACGAAAACAATTAAAATATGGTCACCGTATATATAGGTATGAACGATACTGTATGTATGTAGGTATTTGTGCAAGTACTTAATAAAGTCCTTTAGCGTAAATACCGTCGTTCGAGTAGACTCATAAAATGTTTCAACCCTTATGATCTCGACTCTATAGGAAATTATACGTCTGACAATTCTCTGTTGCAATAAAGCATATCCATGATACTGTAGAGATCATATCGCACCTTAGATCTAAAGTGAGCTATCTCGAAATTCAGATCGGGAAATATAACTGCTTGTGGATCGTACAGATTCAACGCAATTAATGCAAAATCGGCTATGACAGTGGTTTTTTAGTTAGTGTATATAATCATAAAGAAAAAAATAATTACATTCATAGGATAAAGAAACAAATGCAAATGGCTTGCAAGGCAATAAAATAAAAGACCAAACTATACAAACTTGCAAAAGAAATTAAAAATTCAAACGCACGCAAACTAACTTCACCGGTAGTGGTCAGAGACCTTTCTAAACTGACGTAATTTCAAATGTCCGTAGCGCTTGAGAACATAAATATCTACATACATACATACATATAATTGCTTGAATGTCGCGGTGTCTAAATTATTGTGGTAAAAGGCAGGAGAGCGTAGCTGTTAACAAAAAGTGAGATGGAAAATTAGGCAACAAAGAAGGGGCTAAACGGCGCACAGTGTACGATTTTGGAAAAATGGGACAAAATCAAATATCTCGAGAACGAGAAGAGATAACGAATTAAATGTAACGGTATTTTAAAGTTTATTAGTTGTGAAATTTCCAAGGTCAGGCGAATCGCAAAACGCATTTTTAATTGATTTTAAAAAGTTCATTGCGTGCTGTCTTTAGCTAGAAAACGGGAAAAAATTAATTAATTAAATTTTTTCCTTTGTATAATCGGTTTTCAAGTCAAGGCAAGGCGAATTAATATAAGGTGATAGCAGGAGTACAAATACAAAAGTTTACATGTATTTTGTTTTTGCTTCGGCGGCAAAACCTATCACAATCTGTAAGAGTGTGTGTGGAAATTCAAAAAAAAATTTTCAATTTGACATTCGAAGCCGTGAGGCCAAACACATACACAAAATTAGCTGATCTGGTAACACCACCTTATATAAACTCTCCTTTTTGAAGGTAATTTTAAACAAATTACAAATTACCTTCAAAAGTAAAATCTTTGGGCATATTTCTTAAAGTCGACAATAAAGATAGTTGCAACTTGTTGAGATAATTTTCAATGGAATATCTGTCAAAAAACTTTAAAGTCGACGTTCAAGGCAATTCTGGCAACTGTCTCTCAATAAGTTTTTTTTTAAATAAATTAAATTAAAAAATATACATTTGTTCTTTTTAAAACAATAAAAACTAGTGAAAAAAAGAATATTAAATAAAATTAAAATAAATAAAATAATTTTTAAAAACTAAATTAAGTTAAAAAATATTTCGTTTCTTTTTAAAAAAATGAAATAAAAAAAAAAAAAATTTGAATTGACAGCGCAATTCTGGCTAAGATAGTAAAAAGTCTTTCGTAATGCAAATGAAAGACAGATGGTTCTTGCGCAAAGTCCTTAAAAAAAGGTCTCTCATTCACCACTCGTGTTGAAAAGCTCTTTTGAGAGAAAGCACTTGTATATCATTTAGCTCGAGTAGCTCCAAAAGTCCCAATAGCCGAGTGAGCAAAGCACAAATATATATTTTTTACTTTCAATTAATTTGTAGAAACTTATTTAATGTGTTTTTTCTTTTCTAATTTAATTATGTTTTTGTTCTTTTCTTGATTTAATTTTTAGATGTTATTGTTTTAAAACGATAAACATATTTTTTTTATTTCTCATTTTTTTATTTGTTCCTTTTTTAAATGATGTTTTTTTCTTTATTTTTTTTAGCTTATTTTTAAATTCTATTGTTTAAAAAAGAAATCTATTCTTTTAAGTCCATTGAATTTTAAGAATCTGTAGCAGCCCTAGTATTTAATTAGTATAGCGACATCTATGTTTGTGTTTTTGCTTATAGCGCCATCTGTACCTAAAGTTATCTATCTGTCATTTTTGTATTTCTGTCAAAAGTAGCATGTTGGTTTCAGAAGTTCAAGTGCCAAATCGTGCTATATAAGCACGTGTTATACGACAATTCGGTCATTAATCCATTTTTTGGTGAAGGGGAAACATCACGGTGAGTGCAGTGCTTGGACAAGACAATTGGCCGGTACCCGCAACTTGCCCAAGCGCCACCCTATCTCAGTGTAGTTTGGACAATACAATTGGCCGGCTGCATTGGATTTGGCTGGTGTTCGGTACCACTGTTTCTAGAGCATTTTGGACAAGATAATTGGCCGGCTGCACTGGATTCAGCGATATCGTATCGTTGTTGCCACCTTCACCACAATATGGAAAATATTACATTCGTTCCAGGATTTTCTTCACGTAACTTCATCTTAAACTATACTGAGAGCTTCTGAAGCCCACTATACATGTGCGACTGACGGCGTTAAATCATCATATCGTTTTATCTGTACTTTGTTACTGCTTTTATTAAATAAATCCGTAAAACCCAACCAGAAATCGGTTTAATCATTTCTACAAATCTTATTTATTTGCCAATATTATTGTGGTGTATTAATATTCATTTCAGTATTGTTATTAGGCTTTGTACCACGAATATGTTGTTGTTTTTTAGGAAAAATGGAAAAAGTCTTAGCAGTAGAAGTTAAAGCTGCTATTTCGGAGATCACTACGCCTCCTCATCGGACTCCTTTTTCTAGACTTTAGCAGGAATCGCACCCGTATCATGGGTGTGCCGTGGTAGACATTTTTTAAATTTATTTTTTTGTCTTTTTTAATTTAATTTTCTTCTTATTTTTAGATTTTGTCTTAAACATAATATTTTTTTATTTTATTTAATTTTAAAGTATTATCTTCTTTTTTGATTTAGTTTTCTTTAATAGTTTTTTAATTTCATTTAATTTAAGAAAAGAAAATTTATTATTTTTGCTTTATTTTTATTTTTTAATTTTATTCACTGGTTTTTATTGTTTGAAAAAGAAAAATAGAGATTTTTTTAAATTTAATTTAATTTAATTTAATTTAAAAAATATATATATTACATTTGAAAGCGAACAGCATAACTTTAAGACCTCCTGGTTAGCAAAGCTTTCAATTAGTCTTTCGAAAGACAGTAAAGAGCTTTCAGTGTAGTTGCCAGAATTGGCAATTGTCTTACGAAAGACTTTTTAAAACTCACTTTATTTGAATTTCATTTTAAAGGTGAAGTTAATTCTTTATGCAACGGGCTTTTTCTGAATTTAATACTCAATAGCTTTAAAATACCGTTATATTTATTTCGCTATCTCTGCTCGTTCTCGAAATATTTGATTTTTTTTCTAAAATCGTACACTGTGCGGCGCATAAAAGAAGTAAAGATTTCTGAGAAAATTTCGAAATTATGTGGTGGAAAGGTGTTGTGGCCAAGCGATAGATTAACAGCGTACGCTTCATTCATTAACTAAACTTAAATTTGCTAATCTAACGGTTTACTACATATTTCCTTTCATATGACCACTTTGCTTTATCCGACCATTCGTGCAACCATTATCCACTGACTGGTCCACCTTATCCGGCACATCGATCATTGGGCTAGTTCGAGCAGAAAATTGGCCGCAACTATTTATGTTAAAGCATTAAAATGAGCTCGCTCGCTCGCTTAGCACTTGGCTTTTCTTTTATTTCTAATACTTAGATACTTATTTATATATATATATATTTTTTTTTTGAGCGCTAATCATTTTGTGGTCATGTTCGAGCATTTTCTAGCAGCTGAAGACGTTAAATTGTAAGCAGCGAATGATGCGATTCATGCGGTTATTTCTCAATTTTCTGTTTGCCGCAGCACATTGGCTTCATTGAAAAGAAGAAAACAAGTGAAAATAAATAAAAATTATGCTCGAGTGGTTAGCGCGGTTCGCGCTGGCTGTGCGGCACGCAAACATTGAATACCTAATTTTTGTTTCATTTTTGCATTTTTTATTTATAAGTAACTGCAAGCGTTATGCGCCGCTTGCAGGGGCAGTAAGTAATTCATCAGCTAGGCAGCTAAATAGTTCGTCATAAAATTTGTAGTAGCCAGCAAGCGAGCTTTTCGTGCGAATAGTACGCGTTTACCATCACATTTTGTAAAAAAAAGCGTTTTTTCTTTTGTAGAAATAAAAACAACGAAATTTGAAGCCAATCGAGCGAACGCTTAGTAGTACTTAACTAAAAAAAAAAAATAGCAACAACTGCCCAAGACACTATCAAAATCAACACCATTTAGCTGGTAATACATAAGTAGAAAGTATTGAAAACACACTACTCGGAGTCCATTTGTACATACATACATAGGCTATATGTATGTGTATTATTTATTGCTGTTTTTGCGCGCAGCCCACTGCCCACTGTCTGTTGGGCGTCGACAAATGCGCGCGCGCGCACTCATTGCCCGAAAACTAATTTTTCATTTTAATAACATTTCAACCTTTCTCTACGCCACACATACAGTCTTTGAACCTGAACGGCAGCGGCGGCGAACGATCGACAACGACTACGACGAAATCAACAGCAACAGCAGCAGCAGTATTAGCAGCAGCAGGTACCACACCAACAGGAAGCGGAAGTGCCGGCAATAGGATCGCCACAGCCTCGACACCGAAAACGCCCAATAACGCTGCAGCAGGCACTACCACACTCTACGTGAAATCTTCGCCAACGACCGCACAGGAAACGACCAAATTAACGCCAAAGACACCACCCGTGACACCGGATTCGCCGTGCACGTATCTGGACGATGATTTAGATTCGATGTATTCATTTGCGACCACCACATCGGGCCGTTCGACCATATCCTGTGAGCATCCGTATGTTGCGCGGCAAGTACTTAAGCGATACTTTAATTTACACATAGACAATGTTTGATTTTCCCCACACATTTGGGGTGTTTTTTTCTTTTATTTTTTTGCCATCCCCCCTCCAGCAACGGCACTACGTTCAGCGGCCGCAAGATGAAATATGTCGTCCATTGCTCCAATTATGCCGGCCAAGTGGGTCCCGACTATTTAACGCCCACACAGCGTGCCGCACGTCAGGTACGTCGCCTCAAGGAGTTGCTTTGCTTGGCGCGTCAAGATCTTGAGCAGAAGGATTCCGAAATATTGCGTCTCACACGCGAAGTTGTCGAGCTGCGCCTATTCAAAGCCTCGCTGAGTTCACCTGAGGAGCGTTCTGCCTCCAGCGATGCCGTCACTGTGCGCGAAGCCGAACTGAAAACGTCGCAAGATGTCTCACCCATTGTTGATATGGTCGATGATGCAACCAAATCCAGTCCACGTCACATACCGAATCAGCATCATTTGCATGCACACAGCCAGCATTTGCATCATACCAGCCAGCAGTTGTCGTCGGAAATGCAAAGTTCCTTTGCCGATTCGGGTCATTTTGAGGATCTTTCAGTGCATTCGAAAGATTCGTCGTATGTTGCTCATACGCAGGATATTGCATGTGGCAGTGATGAGGCAATTGGTGCGGCGGCAGGCGGTGTAGTTCATCATGAAAGTTGTGCTGCTGGTGGTAACGGCGGCACTGTTGACGAAGAGGAAGATTACGCTGCCACCATGAAGGCCTATGAACTGCAAAGACAAGAGCTTTTACGCATATATGAACAGAAAATTGAAGAATTGATTTGTACACAAGATAGCGCTAGCAGCGAAATGAAGCGTTCACATAACGACAAAGTGGAGGCATTACTGCAAAAATTGGCCGAGTGTAATACACGCTATGCCGATATTGTGCCCGACTATGAGCACGCCAAAGAACGTGTTAGAGAATTGGAGAAGCACTTGGAAGACTTGCAGCGTAAGCTGGCCGAACATGAGGAGAAACAAAATAAAATGTATCTGCATATGTACCAGAAGGGACAGGAGGCGGAACGAATTGCTCGCGCCGATCAGGTGAGTGGGTGGAGTCAATATATGTTATCGCTTGGTTAAGGGAGGGCGTTATTTTCCCATAGTTAGTCTATTCTCCTGACATACTGACTACTAGTAAAAAATCATTAAAATAATATAGAGTTTTTTCTCTAGTCAGCAAGTCACGAAACATTTTTTTTAGCCCTTTTAAGAATACTCGGAGGAGGTTCACGTTCCGTTAGCGGAGATTCGATTGTTATATTTTTCCATTTAACTGAGCTTAAAGGTGCGGTTAAACGTGGCAATGCAAGCGCTTTCTCTACACGTTTTGCTGTCAAAATGCGAAATCGAAAGCCTACTTTCCCTCGTAAACAACCAGAAAGTCCTTTTTGCAGATTTGCAGAAATCACTTTCGGAAATAAATATTATAAGGTGTAACTGCAACTGAAATTATGCAAATCCCTTTCGAGAAATAATTTCAACTTGCTCGCGCTGCACTAGCAATTTTAATTTTTGCTGCAAGTGCTGTCAAACCAGTCAAGTTTTGCCGTGGGACGTGTTTTTTGGCGAATTTGTATAAAATTATAAAAATGTGCAATAAAATATGAAAAATATTTGTAATTAATTTATGCTACTGATATGTATTCTATATTTTGTGACTGTTTTGTGCACATTTTAGCAGATTTAGCAAATTTTTCAAGTCATTAATTTTGTTATAAGCATAAAAATGTCTGGTAACATAGTTGAAAGTGCGCTTGTCCGTATTCACCGTGTAAGCAGATAAAAAGTGGTATCGGAAAGTTTGATTTTCAGAAAGTCACTTTACATGCAAGGTGTAACTGCTTCTGCTATTTCTTTCAGAAATTCTTGAGTTTGACAGACTTTTAAAAAGGACTTGCACTTGCCACGTCTAACAGCTACTTAAGTCACACAAATCATACTGTTTATGCAATTAGTTTAGAATTTACCGGCTGCTTGCATGTATTCCCCATACGGATACATAGTTATGTCCAGATCGGTCGGAACGGAGGGGTTAGAGAAGGTGTAGTCAACCAGGACAGGGTATACGTGACCCCTCGCCCGGTCCCAATTAGGCTGATTTGGAAACTAGGTAAAAGTGGCCTGGGAAAACTTTTGGTATATTCCTGGACAGACTAAGTGGAAGTTCTCAAAAAACCTCAACATGCAAAGTTTCAAGGTTAAGTACCCTTATTAAACTTGCAATTCTAGGTTTGGGTTTTACTAACAGTCTGTGTGTTTTTCTAAAGTTGTTTATCGGCTGTCCCTGAATTCCGGAATGCATCTGCAAATCGTTACACTCTCATAAGCGAATGACAAAACTGTCTCCCTTTGGCTAATGAAGATGATCGATTAACAGAAGCGATCAGATACAGGTGACAGATCTCTTAAACACCCAAGGTCGTAATCGACATAGAACGCTTTGCGATCGATTACGGTCGATGCTGAATCCTTCTTGGCAGCAGATTCATTTCTGGCAATTTCGCAATTATCAGATGCCCAAACTACAAACTACTAACGGGTGCACCATATTTTATGTCGGTTGCTAAACACTGAATAACTTTGACTTTGACATATATTAATCGATTGACTCGAGTAGTCAGGTATTTTAAACGTCAATTCAGTAAAATTTCACACACCGAAACAGCGCTACGAAATAGTCACTCGAATGGTTAGCGTTGGAGATGGGCGCGAGACCCAATATTCGATCCCCACCCCGCCCGTCCCAACATTAAATTTCCAGGTCACGAAATCGCCTCTCCCGATGTTTTTCAGATTTGTACCCCGGGTCCCGGTCATTTTAAAATTAGTACAGTGGGTCTAGCGGGTCCCGTTGCATCTCTAGTTGGCGCTGAATCTGATTTTTAGAAGCATATTTTGATGACCGACGACGCTCTGTGACTGTGATTGTTTGGGCCGGCGTTTGCCCTTTTTCTTAAGAGAAGACGAAACAGTCGAAATTGTCAGGGATAAGAGAAAATGTCTGCGAAAATGCAAGAAGCCATAGTTGGAAAATGTTGTTTCCAGGCGGAACGGAAGGAAGGGCTGCAGAGTTATATTTCAGGTCGTGTTTATTTATTTATTTATTTATTTATTTAGCCAAACAGTATACAAGATCTTATAGGCTACAGCAATTAAGTTAATAAAATATAAAAATACCTTACTTATACAAATTTATTAAAGAGCTCATGAAGTGATTTTTCGAACTTGAAATATCTATCTCGATGAGATTGGCAATTCTGTTGAACTCAATCAAAGCTCTAGTAATTGGAGCATTTTTAGCATAAAGAGCTCTACACAAACCAACATGGAAAAACTCGGAATTACGAAGAGCTCTACGCGGAATGTTTATCAGAATTCTTTGAAGAAGCACAGGGCAATCAACAGAGCCACGTAACAAGTCAAAAACGAACGACAGCGACAAAATTGTTCTCCTGCTCTGCAATGACTTTAGATCTATTAATAAGCATCGTGCTTCGTAAGTAGGTATAGGATACGAGAAGCATAAGTGGCGCAAAGCAAAATTTAAAAATACTTTTTGAATCCGTTCAATTCTTGCTATGTGGCCCTTGTGATATGGCGACCAAATGAAACAAGCGTACTCAAGCTTGGAACGCACAAATGCTGAGAATAAGAGCTTTAGCGTATAAGGATCAGTGAAATCTCCGCTATGACGCCTAACAAAAGCAAGCATGCCATAAGATTTTGAAATACATAGATTAACATGACTTGTAAATGCAAATTTCGAATCAAAAATTACTCCCAAGTCTTTAAACTCACTTACCTTCGCCAGAGTCGTATTAGATAAGTGATACGAAGTTTCAATGGTGTTTAAGCGTTTCGAAAACATAATATGAAAACACTTACTTATGTTGAGTGTTAACCGATTGTTACTACACCAGGTACTCAATCTATCGAGATCTAGTTGCATCAATGCAGAGTCCTGAATGCTATTGATTACAGAATACATTTTAAGGTCATCCGCATAAAGCAAAAATCTTACTGCAGAAAAGCAGGAGCAGATGTCGTTGATAAACAACACAAAGAACAGAGGGCCCAAGATCCTACCTTGCGGAACACCTGAGCAAGCGACGAAAGGAAGAGACCGAGCGTTGTCAACTACCACCATACAGCGGCGATTGTGTAGGTAGGACTCAATCCAATTCAAAAACCCCGAATGGAAACCCATCAGGGCTAGCTTTTTTATCAGAATTTTGTGTGAAATCCGATCAAACGCCTTGGAGAAGTCAGTATATACTGTGTCAACTTGACAACCCGACTGAAATGCTGCGGTGCAGTCATCAGAGAAGATAGCCAAATTAGACACAGTTGACCGTCCCGGAACAAAGCCATGCTGTTCTGGGCATATGATATTCTTGACAAAGAATAATAGCTTCTCCTGAATTATGCATTCAAAGAGCTTTGCTGTGGCAGAGAGTTTCGAAATGGGCCTATAATTGCCGATATCATTTTTATTGCCGCTCTTGAAAATAGGTGAGATCAGAGCTAATTTCCACGCGCCAATAAAAGAACCCGAGGAAAGGGAATTGCTAAAAATTTATAAGAGTGGATAAACTAGGGAATCGCACTGCTTAAATATAATCGCAGACAAACCATCGACATCAGTATTTGACGAGGGCTTAAGTCGAGAAATGCCATTAATGACATCCTCAGATGACAATACAAGATTGCCGAAATTTAAAACAGGCTGAAAGTTGAAACAAATGTTGTCACAATTGTCAGAATCGGATACAAAATTGGCCAAAAAATATTCAGCAAAAAGGTTTGCCGCATCCGCAGGAGTATCAGCCACTTTGTCACCAAGGAAAATATATGACGGAATGTTGGATACTGTTTTTTTTGAATTAACAAAATTCCAAAATGATTTCGGGTTTGACTTAAGTTTCTTTCCAGATTCAAAATGTAGTTTCTGTGCAAAAACTTTTCTAAACACACGAATTGCTTTTCATAATCCTTGTACTTAGCAAAAAAAACCGTATTACGACTGTTTTTAAATTTACGAAAGAATTTATTTTTCAAATTTCGCAGCTTCATCAAGGCAGCGTTGTGCCAGGGAACCCTGTATTTCTTCTTTGAAACCAGTGGTATACAACTTTTACATATATCCAACACAGTGGATCTAAAAACTTCAAAACTATTAGTGGTATCCAGACTAGAGAACAAGTTATCCCAGTTAACATGCTGCAAGAGGTTGTTCAGATTCGAAAAATCACACCGCTTGAAATTAAAAGGGAAGTTTGATGTATCATTATTAGTTACAGAATATTTATAAAACTCAAGATCAAGAACTAGAGGCTTATGATGCATATCCGATTTGGTAATAGGGGAAGTGCATTCATGCAAAGAAAAATTTAAATTGTTACTTAGAAATATTAAGTCTAACGTTCGACCAAGACTGTTAGGAAAACAGTTAATTTGCTTAATGTCTATACTTAGAAAGCTATCAATTAAATAAATTTCATTAGGTCTTTTGATCCCACATGCAATTAGTGCAGAACTTGAAATAGTCGTTGACCATATTACGTCGCATAGATTAAAGTCTCCCAACACGCAGAGATGATCGCCACCAACTTTGTCCAGAGCCAATGTTGTAACATTGTCAACGTGAGCAGTATATAGATCATGCGAACTGTTGGGTGGAATATATGATGCACAAATAAAAACGGAGTCCGAGATGCCACGAATGTGCAAGCAAATTTGGTCAAGCAATCCATTACTATTGGCTAGTACTATCTGGGAAGCATGGTGCTTGCAATGTACCGCGATGAGAACCCCACCACCTCTTATACATCCGGTTAGGTTTGGATCTCTATCCTTGCGAAATACGTTTTAAATTTTAGAGTCAAAAAATTCCTCATTGAAAAAGTTTTCATTCAACCACGTCTCGATGATAACGAAAACATCATATTCTTCATGTGAACTAAATAATCGAACAAGCTAAGACTTTGTTCTAATTCCGGCCATGTTTTGAAAATAAATTTTTAATTTGTTACAATTTCCATCTGATCCAACCGATTGCCGTCGGACATCGGTTGGAGAACTTAGTTTTTTGATGAAAACTTGAAAGGACGCACAACGATGTTTGCAGGCCAAAGCTCAGGCAATAACAACTTCGAATATGAATGAGCATCAACTCCAACCTTAAAATTGAGGTATCTCAAGGATGTGGGATCAACACCTTTCTTAGTAAGGCCGTTGCATACGATGGAAGTTTCTTGTAAGCCGGTTTGTTTTACAATAAAGTTTTTAACTCATCAGCTGTCACTGAAGTCGGAAATGGAGAGAGGTGCAACCATTTCCATCTTAAAGCAGCGCTTAGTTCCATATTGTTGCCCGATCCTACAACTAAGGGCTGAACATATTTACGCACATTCTTTTCTTTCGTGGTGCTGGCCTTTCCCGCGGCACTTCCAGAATTTGAATTATTAAGATTCATTTCATTATTTTGGTTAATGGGAAATTGACTGTCTTTATCAGCATTAGAAAACCCTTTAGCATTGTTTCCATTTTTTTTCTTGTTCCACTTTTTGTTTCGCACAGTGTGCCATTCGTTGGGGTTCTCGGTAGCTGATTGTTGGCTAGTAGCATCAGCTGTTAGATTCGGCGTAGCTGAAGCTGCGCTATTAGCAGCGCTGCATGCATCGCTAGTATCACCAACAGTAGCAGTAGGCAATGAAATTTCAGTTTGTTTGTCTGCTTTGCTTACATTCTTCATTTTTGCCGAATTACCACTAACAACACTCTGCACCTTGAGCTCAGATAACAAGTGTGCCAAAGTAGAGTTGCTGCCCTCAAGCTTTGCGCGCAAATCGTCAATTTGTGATTGAAGAGCATCGATATGTTCTCGCAAACATTTGTTGTCGTCTTGCAATGCATTTACAGAAGAGAGTAGCTCAGCTTTCAATAATTTTACTTCGCTTGGCTCATCATGCATTAAATCAGATGAATGTTCAGCAGTGCCTTGGTCATTTTTACCTTGTCGTATAGCACTCGATTCCATGGCAGAATGAGGGGAGCGAAGGGAATTACGGCGCTCTGCTCTACACTCATTGCAGAGAAAAGGGGTATTTGAGCTCAGCAGATACTCAAGATCTGCCTGCTGAATACCAACACATTGTAAATGAAAGAACTCGTTGCATTTCGAGCACTGCACTTTGGACTGAGCGCGCTCCACTCTTTGCCCACAACAACAAGTCATTATAAAATTATATTAATTGTCAAGAAAAAGTTTAGATATACTAAGTATTATCGTTTTCTTATCCACATTTGAAACACTTATGTATAACCAATTTATGGTATGAGAGTCTCTATCTCGATTTGATTATTTTGCAGAATACTAAAAAATAATCAGCAAAAAAGCAATGCATTTTAGATAATTATGCAGAAAGGCGGAGCGATTAAAAACACGACCGCACTTGGCTGGCAATAAGCTGTTGATGTTTAATCAGTGTCCTGTCTAACTTTGAAATAGAAATTAATGGATTATACTACTATGTATGTATGTATGGCAACCCCTGTGGTGTAGTGGTTAGCAGTGCGCGCTTCCATTCTGCAGGGCCTGAGCTCCAGCCAGGTTCAACCCAACATTAAAAATAAAAATAAAAAAAAGGTTTTTTCTAATAGCGCTCGCCCCTCGGCAGGCAATGACAAATTTTCGAGTGTATTTCTGTCATGGAAAAAAAGCTTCTCATAAAAATGAAATCGCCGTTCGGAGTCGGCGTAAAACTGTAGGGCACGCCACAAATCGAAGGAGAAGCTCGGCCCAACACTAACATATGTGTAAGCGCCAATCTATTATTTTGTATGTATGTCCAATCGCTACCAAGTGATCCTCCTTTATTTCCATTAACCCATTTTTCCGAGTCTTGAAGCGGTACTTTAATATGTATAAGTCAATGGTAAATAGGTGAAAGCATTTGTAGAGCACGTCCTCATTCCCCTGTCGTCCAAAACGTACTCCCTGAACTCTTTTACAATATTACCATCTTAAGCCCTTAGGACGGTATGGCTACCCCTAATATTTGTAACAGTTTTTGTTTTGCACGACTTTGAGGCTTAAAAAATTTTACAGTCCTTCTGAAAGGCATTCGCTGTAGCTGCTAAAAGCAGTGAGCTTTCGATACTAGGAACCGATGTATTGATGCCTGGGCCAACTCCTGAGTTGATTTTGTTGCTCTCTGTGAAGATAAACCTTCCGATTTTTCGTGGAAAGGTGTTTTCCTGGACAAATTTTTGGGCATACTGTGTTTATTATTTGGCTCTAAAGAGAAAGATTAAGACCATTCGGGGAAGGAGGATTGAACATAAATATAAGAAGGTCCGCCGTCCATTGCCTAAACGCAGTTTTTGCAGTTTTTGCATTTTTTCTAATTTTTTCGTTATTCCTGGATTCAAATTTTTTCAACTATTGTACCTACATACATTAGAGTGGTCCAAAAAGAAGTTTAAATGTTAAGCTCTCACCACCTAGGATTTTTCCAAATGGAAAATAGAATACCCATATTTTTTGTTACAAAAATTATATTTAGAACTGTCTCAAAGCCCATGACGTTTTCTATGTATTTTATATGGGGAAAACCACTTTTTGGTAGAAGTGGTATAGAATTCTTGAAAATCAATATTTTTCGATCGGAAAGCTCTGTTTCTCTTCAGGAGACTTCTATAATAATACCCAATTTTTTATTTTACCATTTTTTAATTCTAACGATTTTATATGGGTCCCCCATTGCAGTTTTGGGGATTTTTGGTGACCGATCAAAAATAGTTAATATTAGAAAATGGTTAAATAAACAGTTGGGCATTATTATTGGTAGTCTCTTAAAGGGAAACAGAGTTTTAACAGCTCAGCTGACATTTTAGTTTCAACATAACATTTTGGACAATTTATTTTATCATATTTCCTTTTCTTTTGAACAGGCTCTCGAATTGGCACATCGAGCACCGGATAATAAAGTATCTATCAATGAGTTGCTGCATCAGTTGCAAAGTACCCAAGATGAATTGGAAAATATACGCGTAAGATTTTTTAAAATATTTCTTATATTATTTTCAATATTTTTCTGCATTTTACATTTATTTGCATTGTGATACATAAGTGTTGTTGTATGTTGCATATTTCACAATTTGCCTAACTCTAATTAATTACATACATACATGCATACATTTATTTCTATCACAAGTTGCATTAATGTACTATTTACATACATACATACATACACTTTGCATTCGTTCATAACTAAGAATGTAACTAAAAAGTTCGAAATGTTTCGTTTTTATGTTAATTTGTTATTGTGAACTTTACATGGTGGCAATTAATTATTTTCTGTATTTAGAAGTTTAAAAGTTACATACAAACATTTCCATTACAAGCGTTAAAATAACAATAGTGGTATTCATCTAAACCGATAACTTTATCAAGCAGATAATCTTATAAGTTTATGCACTCTGTTACATGAACGACCCACACTCTCTTTTCGTTTACAGATGCGACAATAGTCGTGTTTTCTTTGGTTATAAAGCGCAGTGTCACTAACTTTATACTACTAGCACGGGGATAAAGAAATTATAGAAACTACCTCACTAAATTGGAAAAAATTATATTTACGAGATATCTATTTAAATAAATGTACATATAACCATGATAAAAACATGCATATAACATAAAGACTATTTATTTGAAGCAAGTTATAAGAAACAATGGGCGAATGTCTGGTTGTGTATGAATTCATTTATCACGGCTACCAAAATTTGCGAATTATCAGTGAAACAAAACAAACAGACGAGATAATAATTGAACCAGATCTCTATCAGGATCATATCGTTGTTGAATTTGCGTGCAAAATTTGTATGCGGATCCCGATTATTGCCTAAGAAAACATAGCTAGAGTTGCGACAGGGTTGCATTGTCTTCAGTTTATCAAGTTTATTCAGTGAAATCGCTGGATAAATTTATCAGAAATGTGTAAACGAGTTTCCATACAAATTTTGACAGTTCATTTATAAGGTTTACACAATTATAAGTTTATACGGTTTACAATGCATTTATAAGGTTTGATGAATACCCTTAATGATCTACGCATTTGTAGGCTCATCCATTTGTAAGTACATTTTTACTAATTTGCAAAAATCATTTTGTCTTGTTATGTTTTGATTAAATTGCATACGTCACCTACACCAACAATAGAACATCATTTACATAAATTAACATAAACATTTGTTTGCTTTAATTTGTTTTCTTAGCAAATTTTAAAGTCCAATCAAATGCATAGCGAATGCGAATGCAATAATTATTCGTTAGTTGTTAGTTTTTTTTTTACGATTCATTTGCTTTTTTTGTACTTGAAAGAGCATCGCGAATGATTTTCATGATTACGTAGCTTAGAACACAGTTACAACTTTAATAGCAACATATTTATAATGACTATTTATTGATCTGTTTAAGTTTTGTTTTAGCGAATATGTAGTATTAACTGAGTACGCATTTTAGTTACTGTATTTATTTTAACCACAATTGTGCAACTTTTTTTACATACGTTTTCACGCAATATAACTTTCTTTTATATGTATGTGTGCATATATAATTATTTAAGTTTTAACTGTTTGTGCTTTTTTATGTTTTACATAGTTTTATACACTGAAATTTTTGGTTTCATTAAAAAATTTTGCAAAAATTTGCAAGGACTTTAACAAAAAAAAAAAACAAAAATTGTTTCATTTAAAATCCTCTTTGAGAAAACTTAAAGATTGTAAATATTTTAAATTACATAGTTATTGAAAATGTTTTGGCGAAAAGAAGCTGATAAAATGGATCCTCAAAAAAGATAAATTGGTTTACAAAATAGTAATATTCGTACATAATAACGGCCATATTCCATAGGCCCATAGTATATTTTTTTTATAGTTCAGGCTTAGGTTAGTTAGGGCATTTCGTCCTTTTGATATATCCCAGAAATCCCACGAAACTTGTTTTCGCCTGGCGCGATCTGTCGCGAATCTCCCGCGATTTTCCCTTCAATAACGTTTTTAGACCTCTGTATCTTTAGCGAAGTGGTTTTTCAGAAATTGGATCTTTAGTTGTAGTCGTTGTTCTAGCTGCTGTAGGTAAACGCAACCCATACGGATTCGAATGCTTGCCATTGATTCTATCTCGGACCTAAACACAAGTTTCACAGCTGAAGCATGCATTATGTCCAGTCAACCCAGGCTTGGTGGTAGGGCATTTAATTGCAGACCTACACAATGTGTGAGAAAGCCAATATTATAATTGACTAAAAGGTGCGCCTGTAGGCAAATCTCATGTTGCCATCAATCTCAAAAGGTTTAGATAAGTGCCGGTTCTCAATGAGCAGACGTGACTGTACACTGAGCCAAAAGTACAATGGTTTTTTCATGGTCAATACAACGATTGTAAAAAATGTGATTCAAGTTGGAACCAATTTGAAAACCATTTCGTATGCTTGGCTGCAGTTGAACGTGCAGAGATGCTTGCTGTTATTTGGTGGCTTCCAAAACATAATTTTTATTTTTGTTTTTTGGTTCTTCTTTATTACGAAGAAAATTGATTCAAGTTGAACATTTAAAGACCAATTTACAAAGCGGCTGTAGCTGAGTGTGTAGATACGCTTTCTGTTATTTGCTAATCCCGTCAGAGGCAACGTGTTAAAATGATTACAAACATTTTTGTTTTGTATCTCCGAATTATGAAAAAGCATCTATGAAGAACAGAACATAAGTGTGTTCAAACGACGAAATCGCCAACCAAAAGTTTGGTTAATGTAAACAAAATTGTGGTTAATATTACCAAATCATTGTTGCAAATATCAACCAAGGCATTGTTAATATTAACAAAAAAACGTTGATATCTTTTCAAGTTTGAATTTGGTAATATTAACCAATTTTTTTTGATTTTTTTCTCAGTGTAGGCAACTTACGGGATTTTTGACTTCTGGTCGCGCATTTTCTAAAATTTGTTGGTCGCCTTTTAGTTTATAATCAGTGGATGATTTCAGGAGCTAATAGCTCTACCAAAAGGCAGTCGTTAGAGTCAAGCGGCCTTCCAATTCGCACTCCATGCTTCTTTATGTTTTTATTTGGAGTTGATTTCGTGTTCGTTTTCGTCTGAATATAATATGTATAAAAAAGTGTATATTTCATAGAACGTTTTTAAGGAAAATTTTCTGAATTTGCGCTTTTTTTAGGGAGTGGCGGGAAAGTATTTTGGTTCCCTCCTGCCCGAAAATTGTTTAAAAACCGATAGTATCCATCCCTGCCATTTTTAAATCTTTACCGTGGTACCCAATATCCCGCGCCCATTTCTAGTTCTTATCAAATATGTTTAATTCGCCGACTTCAAAAAAGGAGGAGGTTGTCAAATCGACGGAATATTTTTTTTATGTATGTATGTTACCGGCTAACTTTGGACCACATAATTGTTTTTTGCCTACCTAAATTATCTTCTGATACAGATCTTAAACAATCGTCACTCGAGTGTTTTAACCTGGACCATAATTGAAAAACTCCCTTAGATGACTCTAGCCTTTGGATTTTGGATGGTAACAACTGTGAATTTCTTGTCATCCATATGCAATCACTTACGTTTGTTCAGCAAAGCAAAAAAAAACGATGTGTCTTTACTAGGGGGGTCCAAAAATGCGTGTCAAGAAAGTAAAGTCGGAATTTTAATGATCTCACCCCCTATACCGAAAAAATATACCACAGTTTTTTTTATTTGGAAATCATAAAATATTTAGAAGTCGCTCAAAGTACTCAAGGTTTTTCATGTATTTTATGTGGAAAAAACCAGTTTTCGTAAAAATGGTATGGAATTTTTGAAAATTAATATTTTTCGATCGGAAAACTTTGTTTCTCTCCAGGAGACTTCAATAACAATAATTATAGTAATTAATTATAATAATTATAAAATAAATTTATTAGGACCCCTAAAAACCTCATAAAATGCAATAGGGAAACCCATAAAAAATCGCTAGTAAATATTAAAAAATTTTAAAATAAACAATTGAGTATTGTTATTGGAAGTCTCTCGAAGAGTAACACAGTTTTTCGGTATAGAACATTCCTGACGGGTGAGAGCATTGAGAGCATTAAAATTCCGACTTTACTTTCTCACATGCATTTTTGGACAACCCTAATGTATATTAATGTACATATGTATATCATTTGACATTTAAACAACTTTCAATTATTGGAAAGTATAACTAATTGAACTTTAAGTTAACACATTTTATCAGCTTTTACCACCAAATTCAATATGCCAAACTCACTGCACACTTTGTTAATAACCCCGCTGTGTTTGAAAGTTTTATGCGGCGCAACGCAAAGAGGGCATGGTTAAAAAAAATACAAAAAAAAACTTTAAAATATTTCAGTAGATATATACATATATATATATATATTTAAGTACTTACACTATAAATAAAACAGTCGGAACTACAGGCTTTCCACAAACACACAAGGCAACAAAAACGTTTTGAAGTAACTTTTTATTGAGTTTTTTTCACAATCGATTATGAACTGCTTGATTTTACGTAAATAGTTGAAAAACAGTTAACTTTTATGTTATGTTACTAACATGTGCAAAGTGCGGCTGTTAATAGAAGTAAAACAAAAAAAAATTGCAAATATTGTTTATATGAATTAGTTATAGCCGAATGTATTCTTCCGCATATTTTATTTAATTGCTTTCAACAAGTATTTTATTGAGTTCGACTAACGTGCAGTTTTTAATATATTTTTATTTACAATCTAGCATAATTTTGTATATTTTTTTTTGGAAAAAAAAGCTTTCGCTGTGAAAGTTGCAGCTACTACTTTTCTAACTCCTTTTTTTTGAGCCCAATCTCTTTCTTTTTTTTTTTGGAAAACATAAATACTACAAGACATGCTATGTACCTACGTTTTTTATCTTTATGTAAACCTTATATACTACATATATTTTATAGGCAGCTGGGTGTAGAAAAGAAAGCGGCAGTAATCATGCTCTCCTTACTGCAAAAGAAGCAATTTCGTTGTGGGTTCTTGGCGCCCGGAAGGTTTGTAAAAAATCTCGTAGTCTACATAGTAGAACACTTTTACTTTTTTCTATTTAATTTTGTTTTATTTTTTCGTATTCTTCTAAAATTATTTAAGTTAT